TTTAATGTATGACATAGACTTCCATGATATTCCAATCTGTTGGCTCGGAACCTCAGTTCATTAAGGTTAAAGACTCAAAAGAACCCCAGACAAAAATCACTCTCAATCACTGATCCCCACTAAACCATGATGACACCTCTTCAGGGGAATAATCAATCTATCTTCTGTTCCTTCTCCGTAAACTCTCCAAAAGGACCAGGGTGTTCCTGGCTCCATGGCACTTAAGAGGGGCAAAGCCACCTGTATCTGCAGGGCTAATCTGGTCCAAGAGGAAAGGGGCCATTACCGGGAATTTCCTCATCCACTGCACTCCTAATTGCACTGGCAAATTGCATTCCTAATTCAGATACGTTCAAGACCACCATTCAGGGACAAGAGTTTGAAGTCTGGGTTCAATGGGACGCTCATGCTTCCTCCCCATTCAGCCCTCAAAGAGAGCCTCTAACCTTTCTCACTCCAAAGATTCACTGCCCAAGACGCTATCCAAAATATTTCCAGAACGCAGGACAAGAGAGAACCACCTACAACCTTTGGGATTAAGTGGCCCACGAATCAAATCAGTTCAAAGCAAAGCGAGCAAGCCACAGAGGATAATTCGCGTGGTGAGGGCAGATCTAAGACTGCAGAAGTAGGGGAAAAAAATATTTGGGGGGTGGAATGGAGGGTGGGAAGAGGACAAAAGCCCCGAAATGGAGATGGGGTACAGCCCATGGCTGTGAAATGTTGCCTGGCTATCGGAGTGGGCAACAGAACAGAGTATCCTGGTAAAGCCTCTTGGCCTCTGCTCACAGTGCCATTTTGTGTTAGGTTTTCCCTGCAAGATCTTAACACCACAATAGTGTTAGCATGGAGGAGAGAAAGCACGACAGTGCTGCAGGGAATCACACAGAGAAAGCAGATGGAAACATTTCCCCTCCTTTTGTTTAAAAACTACATACCCTTGTCTCTCACTTTGCGGTTGGGGGCTGGCAGGCTCATCTGGAATGCTGAGCACATGCCACGGGCACACTCACAAAATGGCTGACGTGGAAGGTGCGGCCAGTCACAAAACATCCCTTTCCTAGAGGGCAAACAATGAGGTTGCTCTCTATGGGCTTTACAGGCTTGTCCCCTTCCACGCTAAGGAATCACTTTACACATTAATTTGTAATGTGATTCAAATTAAACTTTTAAATTAAAATATACTGGACCTGGAGGCTTTTTTGCCAAGAAGAACAGGCAGCTTTACCACATGAGAAAATAAAGGGCCTCATTCAGAACTATCACAAAAGGCTGAGAGCCGTCATTGATGCTAAAGAGGGCAATCCACAATATTAAGAACTAAGGCTATGCAAACAGGACCATTTTATTATTTTCTCGATTGCTATGGTTTATTTAATGATTGTGCTATTCTGTGATCCCCAATAGTTCAATTTGAATCACGTTACATTTTTTTTTTTAAAGTGTTTTGTCTGATTATTCATTTTGACTTACAAAACAGTCCACATCTTACAAATTCTGCAAGGGGTATGTAAACCGTACATATTAAATAAAGAAAAGCTAAAATAAAGTGTAACGCTCAAGCGGTGAAGGTTAACCCTCTTTCTGGGAAATAAAGACAGCGCCAGTGCTTTGCTCTGCATTTTGATTCAATTTTCTAATGAATACATTTTTAGTTCTTTCTTAAAAGAATCTTACACAAACAGGGAACTTGGTGTAACTTGCATGAGAATATCCTCAAGCTCCTAAACACCCCATGGATGAAGAAGGAAACGGCTAGCAAGGACAGCTACAGAACAAGCCACATTGGTAATGCTTCCCAAAACAGAAAAATCAGAGGAGAAGTAGCAAAGAGGGACAGGCAGAGGCAGAGTGATACCTACCTTGGAGGACAGATCACAAAAGGGAGAATGGCTGAGTCACGAGTATTTGCATGTAAGAAGTAGGCAGAGTCCTGAGAAGAGTGGCGGCAGGGAAGCGAATGTGAATCTCAGGGACCTGAAATTTGGGGGAAACAGAACCAGAGATCACACAAGAGGATTTCAGAGGGCAATATCGAGAAATATTTTTGGTTTTGTTTGATCCCTATTTTCCTTATTCCAGCAGCTGTGCATATCGGTCTTCCACTAGGACGGCATTCCCCATCCTGTTTTCCTCCAGATGAACTTGGCTGGGGATGATGGAAATTGTAGCTCGGTATTTCCAGTGGGCACTAGCTAGGTTGCATTAATTCCCTTCAGACTGAACTATGGCCGTGCCCCCCGCATAGGGCGGTCTTTCAAAACAGCGTTCAAACCAGCTGGTCCCAGACTTGTCCTTGAAGCCTGTGGCACGGACTGGATTTCAGCAGCTTTAATGATTCCAGCGCCATTGGAAGAGTTGACCTGGGGCCTTAAAGGTTTCAGGTTTAGTAGAACCAAAGGAAGTTTTTGGTCCAGATAGCACACTCACTGCTTTGCTGCCGTGAAATGTGAGAGCCACCAAGAAAGGGAATTTTATAGATTTGTGTGGGATAAATTAATTAATTATTAATGTATTTATTCAAGCATTTCTGTGGCTGTGAAGTCAGACCACGTGATTCCAGGCAGCTTACCAAAAGAGGAGGAGGAGGAGGAGGGAGGGAGGGAGGGAAGAACATAATCAGCCAATACAAAAAGAACATATCTCACACTTACAATACACAGTAAAATGATGACCAGGACTGAAATCTTTTATAGCTTGTCAATCAGAGGCTCAGCTCATTCTGACCTCAAGGCCTGGAGAACCAGCCAGATCTTAACCGTCTTCCTAAAGGCCTGCAGGGGTTGGGCCAACTGCATGTCAAAGAGGAGATTGTTCCAAAGGACCCCCAGACTCTGTCCATGGGGGCCATTTGCTATTTATTTCATTTTAAAAATGCATATGCCATCTTTGGGTAGCTTATAACATTTCAAAATCATGATTGAAATGTTAAAGCAAGCATTTCAAAAAAAACCACAACAACTGCGAGAATACCTAAATACTGTCACATCAAAAAAAGCCAAGATCTGTTCTCTCTCGTTCCCGGGGAAAGGACACGGAATGACGGATTTAAGCTACAAGAAAGCAGATTTCACAGGAAAGTGAGGGGAAGAAACCTCTTAACAGTAAGGGGTGCCCCAGAGTGGAACCAATGACCCAGATTGATGGCAGGTTCCCCTATCCTGGATGGAGTCAAGCACAGCCACCTGTCCGGGATGGCTCCATCTGGGTTCCTCCACTGAACTAAGGGGAGATAATCTTGCTTTGGATCTTCTCCACGATCAGAACGCAGACCCCTACCAAAACATATACACCAGAGCAAAGTGGTTCAAATGGGGAACTAGCAAAGACAAAGAAATGACAGTTTAAATCCATCCTCCGCCAGGAAAGCTCCGCTTAACCCACCTTGCGGGTGAGATGCTTTGGGTAAAAACTGGAGGGTCTTCTCTCAACAGGGAGCGGACTAGATGACCTCTAAGGATCCCTGGGACCCTCTGATTCCGAGATTCATTGCCGTGAGCTCCTCCAGAGAAGGTGGGTGAAGAGTCTGATGAATACGTTGTGCGCAGACGCACACTCACACAACATCGTGGCAGGCTTGCTCGCAAGCTGAAGCTACGGCTGTCTGGTCAGACGCAGGCGTACAGGGCTGCAGCGTTTGGTAAAACAACTCGTCCTGCCTGGCTGAGAAAGGGTTTAATCTTAGGCACAAGTAAAGTCAGATGAGGCAAATATAGGAACAATGCTTTGGGGGGAAAAACCCCAAACCCGGCAACCATCTCCAGAAACAAAATTCAAGCATTCACACGAGGAAGCTTTAACTGCTGTGAACAGTATTCAACAATCTCTTTTTTCTGAATCTGCCTCCCAGAGCATCTGTGTAAAGCCACCCTATTTTCCTTCCAATCCTTTTCTGAAGCATCTTTTTTTTTTTGCAAGATAGATTTTCTGCAAATAAGCATTTTGTAGTAGTAGTAGTAGTAGTAGTAGCAGCAGCAGTAGTAATAATAATAATAATAATAATAATAATTTTTAAAAAACCTCATATCCTTTAACCACAGCTTCCCCTTATCCTTGTCAAAATACCAAAGCAGAGCCTTTGTCGCCCACTAAAGTCCAATAAACATCCTCAGGCAGACGTCTGTGGATCGCAGCCCAGCCCATCCAATACCCATTCAAGGAGCACCAGTGCTCTTCCTTGTCTTCCTCTGCATCGCTCCCGGTAAACGAAATTCCTGGAAAGACTGTTGGTCCTCTTTAAAAGCACTGATGTGGTCACCCTAGGTGACTAGCAATTAAAATGCAGGCGAGTGAGAGAGCGCATGCTGCTCCCGTCCCTTCTTTGAGCCGATACGAATAAAAGCCACCTGGGAGATCATGGACCGGTTCTCTGCCGATCCCTTGCAGGCTTACAAACTGCCCCTACCCCGGATACTGTACTAGTAACTAGGGGAGGTTCACACACAGGCTGCACCACATAAATAAACTGCAATCAATTAAGAAAACGCACTGATGCAAGAATCTTAGAGGGGTTCCCTTTGCAAGTATCTCCCTCATCTTGCGTCTTGTGTGTTGGGGGGTGGGCTTTCCATGCAATCAGCAGCTGCTTTATTGCAGCCCCATCCGCTTCTTTATTAAAGGGCTCCGATTCGACCCTGGCTATCCAACAGGGCAATCCATTTGAGCCTTAATCCTTTCTTTTTCACTTGGATTTCGTAAGCAATTCTCTTCCGCGTTCTTGGGCCTCTCTCTTCCCCCCTCCTAAACTTAAGAAACTCACCAGATCTCGCCTGGCCATTGACCCCCGAGTGGAAAAAATTCGTTGGAAAGGTGGGGGGAACAGTGTTAAAAGCAGGAAGTGACTTAAACCCAATTTACAACCCTTCTTCCTAGAAGACACACTAGGAATGTAAGTCTCAGTCAGTTTAACCCTTAGAGAGAATTTTGCCGGGAAAATCGCATTCCAGAAAAGGGCCTTTATAAAGACCACAGACCGGACTTTTAACAAGATGCTCTCAAATGAAGTTGGATTGCCAGTTCCATCACCCCCAGCTAGCAGGCCCATGCTGCCTGGGAAGCGATGGGAGCTGTAGTCCAGCGTATCTGGAGGACAGCCAAGTTGGGATAAACCAACAGCTCTGGCTCTCTCGAACCTTCAAGCAGAGGGGCTGAGTTCATACACAGTGCATCATCTCTCTCAGATTTATGAAAACTGGCTCCAAATTGCCCCCGAGTCCAGCCTTGGTGCCTTGTTCTAAAATCCTGGAGTTGTTTTCTCCTTTCAAGAATGGTGGACTGCCCTGTGGGAACATGCCTCAATGCCTAGAATAAATTTATACTTAAAAAATAAACCCAACGTAGGTTTTAATTTTAATTGGAAACCATTCTTATGTACAATCTTATACACAGAATTATGCTGCCTGCAAAATTTGGGTTTTAGAGTCCATATTTTCACTTGATGGATAATTATATGATTGCTTTAATGCATGATCTACTATTTCTAGTTTTTTTTAATGATTTGTTTTAACTAAGCATTTTTAACTTCAAACTCAACAAGGACACATGGATTTTGATTAGAAAATGGATATGAAATATTTGACGATACCATAAGCTTCTAAGGATCAAGCACAATGTATTCGTTTTATATTCCAGATTTGTTACTTATTTGCCCATATTTCTTTACCTGATTTTCTTATCCTTACCGCCTATTCCTTATATTCTTTCAAAATATATAAATAAAAGGGCAACATGAATAAATAAAAATCCTGAGGTTAAGCCATGTAAAAAGTGGTGCCACAATATCCCAAATGTAAGTGCAAATACAGGCACTTACCACCATTTGTTTAGTCACTGTCCAAAGTTACAATGGCGCTGAACCAAGGGACTCACCACCAGTCCTTGCGCTTACAACCATCACAGCACCCCCATAGTCACATGATTAAGACTCAGGTGCTTGGCAACCAGCTCGCACTTCTAACACTTGCAATGTCCCAGAGTCACGTGATCATCATTTGTGACCTTCTCAGCCAGCTTCCGGCAAGCAAAATCAATGGGGAACTGCATGATTCGCTTAATGACCACTGCAAAGAAGGTCATAAAATCGGGTGTGATTTGCTTAACAACCGCCCTGCTTAACAATGAATTTTCCAGTCCCTATTGTGGTCGTTAAGCAAGGACTACCTCTAAATTCTATTGTGTAAAACTGACTTTTGAGCAGGTGTTTTCAGGACTGGGCTGTAAATCTGCTAATGATCTAAAATGTCTGCAGATTTTAAAAAAAATTTCTCTCTCCCCGTAACAAAATGGAGTTATTCTTCCATTCCTGAGTAGCCCGAACAGAGAAAGACCCAAACACAGAAAGACCCACACAGAAATCAGACTTCTGCAGCTCCCAGCTATTGTCCGGCTGACTCCCACTGACCCTAGGCAGCACAACCAATATCACGGCAGATGGGAGTTGTAGTGCAGCAAAGAGCAGGAAAGCTGTAGGATCCCATTCTCATTTTACCCTATAAAATCTCCCTCAGATCGGGGGCTGTACATCAAGGCCTTTGTGCAATCACTAGGCATTTTTTGGGTTTATGCTTCATGTTTGCATCTTACTGCTCGCTTTTAAGACTGTGCTGTAAACCTGGCCATGGAAACCTCACGTTAAGCAGAAATCGGCATTAAATGGAAGGAATGTCTAAGATTCTGCTTAATTAGGATGCCTGCCCTGAGCTGAGGGATGGGCTTAGTGCCCTAAATGTTGTTCAGTCGTTAAGTCGTGTCTGACTCTTCGTGACCCCATGAACCATATCGCGCCAGGCCTTCCTGTCCTTCACTGCCTCCCTGAGCTTGCTCAGTTTCATGCTCATTGCTTCAGTGATGCTATCTAAATGACCCCTTCTAAATTTAGAGATACTGTACTGACATTACCTTCAGGACCATGCCAAAGTTTAGATACTTTTCACCTCCTTTTTCTCACAATCTGCTGCCAAAGTGAGACAAAGAGAGGCCATCAAGGCTGCTTTTTTGTGTCACTTGGACACCTCTGTCCTTGAGGAATTGTTTCTGTTTGAATCACAACACGAAACCTACATTTTATTATAATCAACCCAGCTGCTAGTGGGCAAGTTGATCTTTTGACTTGAAAACACACATATACACGTAAGGAAAGGAAAATTTAAAAAGATGGGGGGGAACTAACGTTTCCCATGGCTTTTCTGCAATTATGGAAACAATGAACCAATGGGAAAATATAAGTGAAGGATTTTTAAAAATACGCTCTATTCTTCAATTCACTCTAGTTTTAATTTCCTGTTGACATATTTTTCTTCTTTTAATGGTTAGTAAAGTTCCTTCCAAAATAAAGGGGTTAACATGAAAACAAAGAAAAACTCATGTATCTAAATATTATCTGGATAAATCCTTTTGAGTGGAATCTCAATTCTTTCAAAGAGCCTAACATCCAAAATAAAGGCTGTCCCCTTTAAAGTTTAATGAGATTAAATTTGGCTAAAACCTTACTTTTCAGAAGAGCAAATCCATTACACTTTTTCAATGTTATTATAAACTGCTCAGAGAACCTTTTCTATTAGGCAATATATGAATATTGTCAAACAAATAAAAATATAGATAAAAATCTAGAATCCACAGTACTGTAGAGCAGTAAGTTTATTAGGATCACCAAAATGGCACTAATGGGTACGCAGGTTTTTGCATTCTCCAAAAACTTCACTTAGGTGAAATGTTAAAAAACAGAGCATGGGGAAGACATTAACAAATCCCAGTTTAATCTTAATTGCCTCAGCTGGTTGCAATATCTAACCAACTAGGATGGATGTTTTAGGTTTTTTTCCCCCATGGATTAACACATATCACTTTCATTAAATAAAAGCGGATCCTATCCTATGAACCATGGCAGATTTCCAGAGCACAGCTAATCCTGTTTGCCAATACCTTATATGTATTGTTCAGTCCAAATTACTGTAAAGATAAATAAGTCTCAGAAGGAAGATGTGCATTTTTGTTCTGAAAATAGAGCAGACTAACATTATTACAGGCACACAGTTTTTCCCATTTGAGTTAGATAAATTTCTAGTGATATGATAGCTGTTATTTCTGTACTATAGATGTGGAGAAAGAGTGGCAAAAAACCCCCCTTGCAAAATTAAATTAAGAACATCAAATACATTAATGTTAATAACACAATTAATCTAAAGGCATTTATAATAGGTTTAATTCATTGTTTAAAAATTGAATACTACTGATTTGCCTGAAATTCTAGAATGTCTGTGGAGCTTTGAAACTTAAATATTTTGGTGTTTTCGTTTATTTTGTTTTTTCTTATTTTCTTAATTTTTTCCTATTTCCCTTTCTTTATTTCTCTGGATTTTCTCTTTGTTTTGTTTCTTTGCAATTTTTTTTATTGTTTTAGTTCGTCTTTTTTCGTTAATATAGTTTTTTAAATGGTTAAGCATATGGTTTATTTTATAATACAGTTTATATTTCCTGCTATCTATTCTCAATATGTAATGCCTTTTGGGAAAATTTAACTGTAATGTTTTTAAAATTTAATAAATAAAATATTTAAACATGTTCATAAGAGGAATAATTAGCACTCACTTATATGCAAATAAGCTCCAACTTTTGTTCTTTTTTGGGTGCTGCATTTCTTTCTCCCCAGGTTTTTTTTGGGCCAACAAGAAGTGCCAAGTGACTTCAGATTAAGCCTTTGGTATTAGTTCAAGATTTCAAGATCTAGTATTTGTCTGACATTTTCATGCATGACATTAAAAATGCTGAAAAGCCCACACCTCTGTATCAGCCCTTCCCATCAGCATATTCTCCAAATTTGTTTTGGCGCAACTCCGAGAATTCCCAGAAATTCTGAAAGGTGAAGACCCATGATACTTGGAGAAAACAATTATAGGAAAAATTATTCAATGCTTACAGAAAAATTACCGGTCACCTAACAAGTTTGTAAGTATGCAAATAATAATAATAATAATTTTTTCTGTGATAGAATATTTCAGCATTCCCATGCGACAGGAAAATTGCATAATGCACAAAAAGGATGATCAGGAGGAGGAAGAAGATATGGGGGGGCTGATTTCATGTAGTCAATTCATGCAAGCAATAAAGGATCCTACAAACTGAGGGAATAGATATGTCAAAATTTAAGATGTATGGAAAATTCAAAAGCAAGTCATTTATCATAGGTATTTCTCACCATAAGGATAAGGCTGGGGTGGGCCACCTAGGACCCCCAGCTTAATTTCAAAAGCTCTCTGAAAACAGTCCATTTCAAAAGTAACCTCTCCTTTCTTCAGGTACCTTACTTGGTGGAAAGAAAGAGGGCAAAGCGAGAAAGGCAGGGGAATAGAAAGGATGAATAGAAAGAGGGAGACAAAAATAAGGGATTCCACCACCCACTTCATCCAAAGGGAGTGCAGTCCCCTGTCCCCAGCAGTTTCCCTCTAAGAAAAGAAAATTTAAATGTATTTTCCTCTATTCTCAGCTCATGACAAGCTGACGAAGTGACAGAATGACAGGCCCCCAATTACACTGAGAGTTTTATAGCCAGGCAGAGATTTGAATTCCGATTGTGACCAAGACTGAACTTCTCACATTCTGCTGGGCCTCAGGTTACTGTATTTTATTTATTTTAAGAATTTCTAAGAAGGCTTTCAGGCAAAATCCTACCCATGTTCACTTCGTAAAGGCAACCACACACCTGCCACACTTCAACATAAGCAGCCCTTTATGACATTATTCAACCAGCACCTGGCTTGGCAACACGATGCCAGAGTTTCAACC